ATCAAGTTATTATGAGTAAAATAAGTTTGACTAGTTTTAAAAATATTTTCATATTATTTTTCATTCAACCTGTAGCTTAAGAAACCTGAGCCCACACTTAAATTAACCTAGAAAGAACCTTTCAATCTCAGTTGATACTCCTATTTTGAGAGAGGTAGCAACCATAGTTTAAAGGACTTTCAAACTTTTTTTGATTGTGACTAAGGTAAGAAATAATTGAAATGTATGTTGTATCCTAATACACACATGCAATCACATACTAACAATACCTACCCTTACTATAGGCAAAACACTGACATTTTCTTTTGTGTTCTCTTTCACTTTAAACACAACTGCTGGTCAAGACCCACAAAACTGATTTAATAACTTGCTTGTGAGTCATAAGCTGCAACTTGACAGTTACTCGCTAAAATTAAAAAAGAGACTTCCCATTTCTTAGGTTATCATGATTTTTTTAGCTTCAGGAGTATTTCTCAGAGGCCATCCAAAAGAGAATATAGCTGTAGATTTGACCTTTGCCACCCTTTCCTCACCCACAGATGAATGACTGTTTGCTAGGCTTCCATTTTTTAAAATTTTTTTAAAAAAAATTTGTAAGCCTGAACAAGCATTATTAGGCTTCCAGCCAGTGTCTGGGGTCTCTGCCTCATTACCAAAATTAAGGCAACTTCATGCCAGATTATTTCATCATGCATCACTTCAAGTTACCCTGAACCATCACATAAAATGTAAACCCCTCTAATTGTTTATTTTCTGACTCTCTTGTGATGTGGTCTAACTGATTTTCTGTTCACTTAAATGAAGATCTTGCCCCCTTATTTATAAATAGGCCCTTTTCTTATTACCCTGATGACTATTAACATCTATTGTAGAGGCTATGGCATTTCATTCCACTCATTTTTACTCAACCTATGAGCCTTAGTGCCATAAAGTAGTATTTCCTTTCTCCTTGTTTTCTATTGCTCTTTCCAAATAGTTGTTCAGACACACATGTCAGAGTTCTTCCTCTGAGGCCAGTGTTTTGTGACCACAAATCTTTTATTCACCAATCTTCCATATACCTACAATCACTGAGAATTTTTGTCCCTAGGGCACAGTCTTCCTCTCTGCCCCTAGTTTTGTCATTAGGTTAGGTACCATGGAGTCCCTGTGGAACATTCAGTGTTCTGATCTCATAGTTTAAGCCCACACTTTTTCCATTTCCCTTCAGGTTGCCTCCCTTTTTTTCTGCCTCTTAAATATGACTGTTTTTCAGGGCTCTGTCATCAGTAGTTCATACTTTTTAGATGAGCTCCCTATCAGTGGCTTATAAAGGCAGTTGGTTTGCATTTAGGAACCATGTGTACCAAAAAATATGTGTCTTCAAACAGTATTAGCTCAGTTAGGGTCATTAGAGGGACAGATTCACAACCTACATTATTAAGTTTTTCTTTTTTTCCCCTGCTTACCTCTAATTGAAGTTAAAAGACCCATTTGATCCTATTTCTGTGTCGTATAAGTAGATTAGTGGAAGAATTGTCACTGACCTGTTACATTATGCCTGCCCAAGATTTTTTTTATGATTTATAAAATTTGAAGATTTATGTCAAGTTCTTAGTTTTGTTTCTGAACATGACTAGTTTCCATTGACCGAAGCTTCAGTCTCAAAGGATTTATTAATTGAGCTGATTGATTTTAATCTCAGTATTGTTTTACTATTTAAAAAAACAAAGCAAACACATTGTTAGTTATCAAATCATTGTTTCTTTGAAACTTTAATTCTTTTGATGACTTCTGGTTTTAATTACCTGGAAAATATGCTAATACAAGGGATTTATACTAGAAATCCGAGATTGCTAAAATAAAATGTATCATACCTATGAGTAAATGTATTCCTTAGACTTATTAAAGCCAGAATGTAGAGGTGGACTGTATTTAATGAAATACATGTATAAAAGCTGAACATGTAGTATCTCACAAAATTGTGATTAAATGGCGTTATCTGTCAAGCCATTAACATAAAATGTTATGGTAATTCAGACACCTGATTTAAGGAATAAAGTAGTTGGGGCAAAAGAAATGAAATGACAAAGGAAATCATAAAGCACTAGCAAAACTTCAGATTTTAAGAAGTTTTTAAGAACAAATGACTTGGCAAACAACAACAATCCCTAAAATGATTGGTCCCTGAGTTACATCATCATATATTAAGAAAAAGCAAGACATTATCTTTGTATTTAATGGATCATTTCCTAATTTAGGGAAAAGAATGTGAATAAGTTATATGGATAATTGTACTCATATAAAATGATTTATTCTACTGGAACTGAGTTGTCTGGATCCTTGATGACACATTAAAGATCCTGAGCCCAAGTATGGGAAAGTCGAGCATTTTGTTTCTTATCCTTTGTAATCAAAGGACTTGGCTGATCCAATTTATAAAGTGTTTCATAAAAAGGAAGAAAAGATGTGATTAATTCAGAAAATGCATAAACCTGTGGAATAGACAGTTCTGTTCCCAAAATGAAACATGGTTCACTTTTGGAGGACAGTATGTTGAGAGACATTAACCATTGCTGGATTTTTAAAAATTAATAGTTGGGTCATCTTCAGAAATAAAACATTTAGTGTTTGAATTATAGTGCTTTAACTTTGAAAGCTGTATGGAGGTTTAAATGATCTAGAAAATACTAGAGCTATTAAATTTGGTAGTATTCTCATTGATGAAGGTAATAAGAGAGGATAAACTACTGTGAGTAAATGATACCTGCTTTATCAGATGAAAGACACAGGTTGTCCATGTTTGGTTATTGTAAGGAATTTTTATAAAAAGAGACATAATAACCATTGTAGAAAGGTACAAATACCAGTACATATTTAAACCTTAGACTATCTATTGTTTTTTTTGTTTGTTTTGAGACAGGGTCTCGCTCTGTTGCCCAGTCTATATTTATCTGCAGGATAATATTAATTCTGGGTTATTAGTATCAAGTCAGTATGTCTTTGTGATGTGAATTCAATCTAAGCAGAACAATCAGGTAAATCTGCTTTTTAAAAAAATCCCTTGATGGGCTAAATTGGCAGAATTCTTTGGGTTATCCATATTTTTAAACCGCAAAAGATTGTGTTTCAAGTATTACAAAAAATAATTCTCATTTTTAAAGATTTGGAATTGTCTTCATTTGTCTATAAAATATAGCAATGCAGGAGCTATACAGGAAGTACATTAGTAAATGAACATAAATTGTGAACCATAGAGTTAAGTACTCAGGGAGCATTTATTGACCATCTGTATAAACATACTTAATACATAGGTCATCTGGAAAAGGGAAGATGTATACTAGAAAACATGATCCTCCATCAAAAAACCATGTACTTAGTTAGAGATGTTCCAAGCATTAAAGACTTTTAAATGAAAGGCAACATGTGTTCAGCTTGGGACTGAAGATACTGACAATGTAAAGCTAAAATTGATTTACCTCTGCCAATATTCTAAAAAATGGCACTCACTGATAAAATTTAGTTAAGAAAGCCAATACAAAGAGAAGTTAAATGATTTAAAAATTACACAGATCTAAGTTAAACTCAATGTTAGTGAGTCAGGATTCTCAGCAGTGAAGTCTTTGGAATCTTACCGAGTCACCAGTATTGTATGTTGGGTAAAATTGTTGCTATGCCTGTCCTTAGAAGAACAGAAGGTTGAAAGTCACTGAAATAATTCCTTTATGATTTGAATAAAAGCTTCAGGAGAATAATTACAATTAATACTTTGTATTCTGTATCTTTAGTTATTTAATTGTATATTCTTGAGGCTTTGAAATATGTCTTAATTGATACCTGTTTTTTGTCATGATTTATTTTTATTCTTTACATAAGTGTTATTATCATTTGAACATTATAAAGGATAGTGTTAATGTTGATTATAAGTTACTAATATTACCTGCTATAAACCACTAAGGTACTCTTTGCTCCCAATTCATAAAATTTATCAGGTAAGACATCATTTTTATTCTCACTCAAAGATTTACATTGGTAAGTAAAATAAGTTAAAATTGTAATCTTTAGTAGTCATCAGGGACAAATTTTCTTGAATAAATAGTTTTTCCTACTTCTAATTTATTTTTAAACTGTCAAGAAGATAGGTATTAACAACTTATTTCTTCATAGAAACTGTGTGTATATTTGTGTGTATGTGTGTAGGATTAGGTAGTATGATGTTAATGACTCTTATTGTAATATGTTGATATATTTTTATCCTATCTTTTTCATGAGAAGATATGAAGTTATTTCATAACATTCGAATTTGCTATTTTCAGTTATAGACATTTATATGTTAAAATATTTGTGATCTATTACCTTACAAGTTTCTATTGTCTTCAGTTAAATGCGTATATTGGTTTGTCTGTTTGAAGAAATGCTCCATAATGCTAAAGGCATTACCATGCTTCTCAAATAGACAGTGATGATAGGTAAAAGCATATATAAAGCTCTTATCCTAGCCACCATACACAACTGCCAAGATCATAGAGGAAGAGAAGGAGGGGTGGTAAGTGTCCTCCAACTCTTCTCATTTATACTGAGGAGTAACATTAGTTTCAAACTCTACAGGTCTACTCCTGTACAAAACAAATTTGGGTACTACCAAGAATGTGAGATGTACCTCTAACCACAAACCCACTTGCTAATGTCAATGGATCTCTAATTTGAGAAAGTTTTTGGTCAGTGCTGACAAATGAAGGCATTATATAAAAAATTGATGTTATAACTACCCTTCATTATTATGGTAATATGTGTCATATTTTTAAAGTTGTTATATAACAATACATACATATATATGTATACACACATATGTATAAATCGTATTATCAGTTGAGGGTTGAGTGTTATAGTTGTAATAGTGTTTTGTTAAAAATGTGACTTAGAAAACATAAATACTAATATCTTGTTTTTGCTGTGCTAATTTAGTTAAAATTTTCCTTTTATCTTCAGATTTAAATTTTTTTCTTACCTTTCATTAATAGGTAGTATAGATCAATCAGTGTTAAAAGAATTACCCCCTGAACTCCTGGCAGAAATTGAATCCACCATGCCACTTTGTGAACGTGTGAAAATGAACAAACGCAAGCGTAGCACAGTTAATGAAAAGCCAAAATATGCTGAAATCAGTTCAGATGAAGATAATGATAGTGATGAAACTTTTGAATGTAAGTATAACATAACTTTATTATTTTAGAATTTGAAAGGAGACTTATGTATTTGTCTCATTCATAATTTGGGGGGTTAGCAAGAGCACAGTGACCTTAATTCTTAATATAGTATAGCAAGTTTTTTTCTTTGTACTTTAAAAATGTGTGAAAGATGAGATCAGTTGGCACCAAGAAAAAATTTTAAATGAGCTATAATTAGTGTTTAAAAACACAAGTGTGTTTCTGTATGCATTTAGCAAACATTTATTGAACTCCTACTATATGCTAGGCACTAAGAATAAAAATACAAATAAGATGTGGCCCCTGTCTTCAAAGAGCCTTCAGCCTAATGGGGGAAGTATGTAAATAAACAATTGCAGTACAGTGAGAAAGGTACAGTGATAACAGTCAATCCAGGGTGCTATGAGAACACACTGGATTGGCATCAAAATCAGAATGGGGGTTCAAGGAATGCTTACTGGAAGAGGTGACACTTGAGTTGAGTCTTGAAGGACACGTAGGAGATAGCCAGATGAAGAAATATTTAAAACCATACTATCACTAAATTATGAATGGATTAGCCACATTGCAGATTATCTGTGTGGTTTGGACCTGGCTTCTCCTTTTGCCCAGCTATGTCCTGGAATTCCTCCCTTGTTTCACTGTTTTCCAGAGCTGGCTTCTTCACTACACAGCTACCTCTCTACAACACTGTGATCACCTGTCTTTGCACTAGACTTGCTATACCTCGCCTGTCTTCCTACTGGTCCACTGAAAAAGTTCTTCTCTTTTATCCCTATCTTCCTTCTTCTGGAGCAAGAGAATTGAGCCTAGCCAAGAGGGGTCAGCAACCTTGTTTGACTTAAACGGCATTCAGTGGAAACAGACTATGGGAGATCTTCACTTGTGTGCCAACTGACTTAGACATAATGACCAAAAGAAGTGGGAAGACCACCAGTGTGTTCTACCTTTTCCACCTAGTGTCCATAGCTTGAGGTGTGACAAGCAAGGGCAGGAAGGACAGATGCATGCTGCCATTTTTAAATGTATATTGCTGATGGAAGCCCTTCACCTCCTCCAAAGTCAATGTTCATTTACTCTGATCTTTTTAAAATTGTGAGCTCTTGAGCGATGAGCAGTAGATTATGAATACTGAACAGATCTGAACAAGGTTTTAAAACTGAAATAAAATATACAACAAAGTTAATCGACATTTAATTATATGTATAAGTGTTATAATTTGTATTATCATGAGATGTATTTACATGCAGTATATTAAAATGGCTAAAGTTAATTTTTTTATTATACTCAAACATTTTGGTCATATGGGGACATGGTTAGCTCTGGAAAGTAAGAGGAGAAAGGAAATATGGTGGCCCAGAAACTTATTCCCTTTTATATACATGCCTCACTGCTCTCCCTCTCTCCCCCTAATATATCACCCATTTCTAGAAAAGCTGAGAAAGAGAGGTTCCTGGGGAAAAAAGAAAGTTTCTCTAGAAGGTTTTTTAAGAGATATCAGAGTAGCTTCCTGTTTTTCTGGGTTTTTTTCTTTTCTGTTTCTTTTTTCTTTTTTAAGCCACCTGGAATATTACTAGGTTTATTTCTATACAAGAAGCTATAGAAAAGTAGACACTGGGGCCATTGGTTTGAGTGGTGGAAGAAGTCGAATTGGTAGTTGACAAACAACCAAATTGTCATATCACAGCAAAAACAATGTAGAAAAAATGTAGCACAGTACAAAATGTAAAAGTATGATGAGAGCATGAGTTGGAAACATAATGATTCTTTGAGAGAGGTAGACTTTCTGAAACTTAAGGTTTTATTGCAGTTTAATCAAATTGGTTTCCTAAAATCTAAAACCAAGGAAATAGTTTTATTGAAAGATAGGAGAAAGGACTGAAGGGTAACTCTGAAAGTTGGGTCACACAGATTTGGATGGCCATAGTACAAATATAAGGTCACTGGGTACCTGGGGAAGGTGAAGAAGGAGGCACATAAGAATCTAAAGAGAGATACAAGTGAAATTTGGAAAGGGAGGGTAGAGAACACCTAAGTCATATTTTACGTAACTCTCTATTGAGTTTCTTCCCCTCCCCTGCATCTTCAGGATAATAAGGGAAACGGAAAAAGAACAAGTTAGCCACAATAAGTTGGGATCCTAATAACCTCTTTGCAACACACAGTGTGTTGTAGAGGTTGGGTTGTTTTTGTAATTTGCCACCCTATTTTTATTCAAATTGCCTAAGGTTTGGTAAATGTGAAATAAAAATCTCTAAGGCTTATGGACGATTACCACCAATACAGTATATTCTATGTAATTGTGAACAACTGTAAGATTTTTCAAGCATTTTCTACTCAGGATAAATGCTTGAAATGGATTTCTGAGGAAATTAATTAAAATGCAAAAAGGCTAAAGTAGATCACATTTGAGGTTGTAGAATACTACTTTGTGAACTAGTTTGCTTATTAGCTGTCATCCCTCGTCTTTGGTAGGCGTATCAATACTTGTGAAAAAAACATTTAGTGAATACTATACGAAAATGACGTGTTTGTCACACAAATACACACACACACCGTCTACTTATGTTAGTACATGAGACAAGCCTAATGTACTAGGACATACCCTAATCATAAAAGGGAAAAGTCCTACCTCTCCTCACATACCTCATAACCAAATTTATGCTGAATTATGAAGAAAATCATTGAAGATTTAAATATATCCATTTATATTTGACCTTTATGTGAATTGTCTTGCTGTGCCAAACCTGTGGCCACAAAGAAGAGTAAACAAAATGACCTTTTCCCACCGTGTTGTCCATAGATTATATAGAAGGGTCCAGAACTAGTATTCAACTAGATTTTTGAAAATGAATGGATAGATAGGGCAGCACATAAGGGTAAGATTAGCCAGGGTATAGACATTTATTAGCCACATGAGGACAATGGCACAAGTGTAGAATAGAGTGCATGGGCCAGAGGTTGGCATCCTTAAATCTCACCCAAGTAGAGGATGTAAGCAAGACATTTGTCTTGAGTATTTTTGTATGTATCATATTTAGGGATTCAGAAAAGAAGCCAGTCATTAGGAGGCCAGGGAGTCAAACAATAGACTAGAAAATTTATCATTGTCAGCAACAAGTGGTCACTACAACAACCAGTATATGATTTTAAGGTAGAACACATCAGTTCTGTACCCTGGTTTTAACCTGGTGGTGCCTACACCCTAGAGCAGGTATGAGAAATATTTGTCACTTGCACTGCCCTCCAGCTCTCACTGGAGACATTTTCTAATCAGTCTTTCTTGCTGAACTATGATGCTTTGTTGGGGCTCAGAATTATTTTCAACATAATGCTCTAGACAGCTATTACCAGTTGATCATAGTTGATGTGTCAGATGAAATCTGTTTGCCAGATCTGCCTAGAGGCTCCTGTCAGTACTGGTGATTTTAGCAGAATGCTTAGACCTCTGGAAGGATGGGGAAAAGATTGAAGGTAACATGTAAACATGCTTATATAGTGTGTGTAAACTTAGAAGCTTTTCTTTTTGGGTTTAAGCAAGCCTGTTGGAGAACTGTATTCAATATGTGAGTATTTACAGCTATACAGGTTTATTCTGTTTCTGTAGGCTTGTGATGTTAGGTCATCAGGGTTTATGGTATTTATTGCTAATTATGGGTTTAACTTAGCTATTAACTGATGGTGTATATGGTTACCCATATTCTGTAACACTTTCTCAAAAGGTGACTATTCCTCCAAACCCTGCTACCCATCAATAATCTAAATGCTTTAAGGTGGTTCTGTTTTTCATTCAAATCCTAAATAAAGTTTGTTTTACAAGCTTTAATTAATCTTGAGGTTTAGATATAACCTTTACTGACTTGCTGAATACCTTTTATTCAAATGAGCACCATAGTTTAATTCCAAGAACCTTCCTATCTGTATTTATTAGCAAACTAAGTTCATGTAAAAATCTTTAAATCTAGGTAAATCATGCTAAAATTAGTGATACTCTTTCCATACCATAATTTAAACTTCTGGATATACAAAATCACTCATAATTTTCTAGACCCATGAAATAAAGATATTTTTCCCATGTGGTTCATTTGTAAAGTACATTTTAATAGTCTTTTTAAATGAGGTAAATTATTTGTCATGGGGATTTGCTTCTAGCCTCTAGGAAACGACATAAAAAAGATGATGATAAAGCTTGGGAATATGAAGAGCGTGACAGACGAAGCTCTGGGGATCATAGGAGAAGTGGCCATTCTCATGAAGGAAGAAGGAGTTCAGGTGGTGGTCGTTATCGAAACCGAAGTCCATCAGATTCTGACATGGAAGATTATTCTCCTCCTCCCAGCCTTAGTGAGGGTAATTTATCAGTGTCAACAGATTTCTTACATGAACCAATTTAAATTTAGGGCTTTAACTTTGAAAAATATTTTATATTCTTTTATGAGTTAATTAAGAACTAATTTTTAATCAACAATAGTGTATCTTTAGTTTGGATTTGCAGTGGTTATCGTTGAAGTATTTTATTAATGTTCAGGAAGAAATGAAAAACAAAAGTGGCAGTATTTTAAGTTGTCATTCATGCATATCAGTATTTCTTTTTGTTCATTTTAGTTGCTAGAAAAATGAAGAAAAAAGAAAAACAGAAGAAAAGGAAAGCTTATGAACCAAAACTAACACCTGAGGGTAACATTTTAGTTTATTTAATTTGTCTTTATTCATAGTCTTCAGCTTCACTTGTCTGCATGGGAAGTGAATATAATAAATTATTTGTTCTCTCTTGCAGAAATGATGGACTCTTCAACTTTTAAGAGATTCACAGCCTCAATTGAGAATATTTTGGATAATTTGGAAGATATGGATTTTACTGCATTTGGTAAAATCAATTTAAAATGTATTTGTTTACCGATACTTTATGAGTCTAGCTTTCTGCTAGTTACTCTAGAGCTGCAGTCCCCAACCCCTGGGCTATGGATTGGTACCAGTTGGTGGCCTAGGAACCAGGCCACACAGCAGGAGGTGAGCAGGGTGAGCAAGTGAAGAAGCTTCATCTGTATTTATTGCCGCTCCCCATTGCTTGCATCACTGCATAAGTGCCGCCTACCATCGGATCAGCAGCAACATTAGATGCTCATAGACATACGAACCCTGCTGTAAACTGGGCATGTGAGGGATCTAGGTTGCACACTCCTTATGAGAATCTAATGCCTGGTGATCTGAGGCAGTGATACTAGTGCTGGGGAGCAGCTGCAAATACAGATTATCACTAGCAGAGAGGTTTGACTACACGATAAATGTCGTGCACCAGAATCATCCCGAAACCACCCCCCAGCTCCTACTCCTGGTCTGTGGAAAAATCATCTTTCATGAAACCAGTTCCTGGTGCCAAAAAGGTTGGGGACCGCTGCTTTAGTGGATACAGAGGCATGATCTGTGCTATTAGGAAACTTGAAGTCTAGTTGCAGAATCTTATCTATTCCATGTTATCAAGAAACTAAAAATTTCAGTACAAAAATCAAGTACTAAATTAGCTAAGAGTTGATAGTGTCTTAAGAATCCTGAGTACAGCTTCCACTGTAGGTTAGAGTAATTAAGGAAGTCTTTATGCAGGTGAAGCTTGAGTAGATCCTATAATGAAGGTACTAATAGGAGCAAAGATACAGAAATGGGAATCCATTCATCTGTTCATTTATTCTGGTGGCTAATATTTGTTGAATACTATGTGTGAGTAGTATGTTAAGTACTAGAGGTACAAAAATAAGTAAGACCCTAGCCTCTGGCTTTAGGGAATACAGACTCTAATATGGAAAACAAAATAATAAACCAATTAGAATACAGAAGGATTAATGTTATATTCATATATTACTTTTACAATAAGATATACAGATTATATCTATAAATATAAAAATATTATGTTTATAAAAACACTACTTACAATGTATAGAGCTACTCTTAACAATCTTTTGCCAGCTTCAGCTGGTAAAACCACTAATGCCTAATTTATACAAAAGTTACATGGATGGCATACATTAATTTTGATATAAGGCCATTTATTTGAGAATGCCTTAAAGGGTATATCACTCTTTATTTTGAAAGTATTTGTTTTGTGAGAATTACTTGCCTGAGTATCACTGTGTTTCCTGATTATTTAGAGTATCAGTTTCATCTTTTTTAAAACTTTCCAATTCTGTGCTGAGAAATTGTCTTCTGTATCATTTAGGATCCTAAAAGGAAGGCAGATGGCACTATCAAATTACGATAATTTGAGGAGGAGTTATTTACAGAGAGACTATTACAATGATAGGGGCTAAATAGTGCCAGAACTCAGGGTTAACAGCCATGAAGCTGTTACCACCTCTATACCCAAAAGAATATGGGTAAAGAGAAGTCACCAGAACTCACTCAGTAGGAAAGAATGTTGTAGAGCATTGAAAGAAGCAGTACCTTTTGGTCAGAGGACAGAGCCAGCCTGAGGAAACCTTGTAAAGAAAGAGTCAGGGATAAAAATACCCTGACCTCACTCTCCTTCTCTTTGATCTTCTGACAGGGTACCCTACTGGCTGAACCCAAACAGATGCCAGAGGGCATTGGGAGACTGTTGATGTAGTCCATATAGATCAGCATCCTGAGGCAGAAAGCATGGTTGAGAAGGGTCAACAGTATATCCAAAGTGGTAAAGACAAGATATCTATCTCGTCTTCCCATCTTAGTCAGAAATCTAATTTTAATTCCTGTCCTCTTTCCTTTAGGGTTTATTTGAGGTTTACAGAGGCCTTTTAAGTTGTTAATTATTTAGTTTGTTTGTATCTGTTTTCGTGTCCAACAATTTTATTAAAAAATTAAGCTTGCCATTTTGAGCTATTTTGTTTACCTAAAATATGTTTATATGTGGTTTTTCAGGTGATGATGATGAAATCCCTCAGGAACTGCTCTTAGGAAAACATCAGCTTAATGAACTTGGCAGTGAATCTGCTAAAATTAAAGCAATGGGTATAATGGATAAGGTATCTCATTTAAGTAAAATTTATAAATTTACTTAATAGCTAACATTTGAAATTAGTTTAAGGTTGTCAGGGTAAATTGTGAAGTAAATAATTTTGAAAAAATTCATGATTGCCTTCAGAGAGTCTAAATTAATTATTTCTTCTTTTTAAAAAAAAGTTGAATAAAAGAAATATTCTGCAAATTATTCTAAAGAGAGTTATATTACTGCATTGGAAGAGGCATGGGCCTTGATTTTTTTAAGTTTTCTTTTTCATTTTCTCAAATATTTATATTATTTATGTGTAGAAACACATTAAATTTTTCTTCGACGTTTATTTTAGTCATTTAGGGTAGTGAAAAAGGTAAAGGTATGATTTCAACACATTACTTACCTATGGTGTAAAATGTTGCAGTCTTTAAATTAATTGTTAATAAATGCATGGCCTCAATTGCTGTAGGCTTTATGATAGCTTTTGTGAGTTGTCTTTTCCATGAGCTCCCTGTTACTAAGGAGTAATCTCATTGCACTAGTGAAATAGCGGAATATTTTTTCATTGATAACTTCAGACAATAGTGGCAATATCAAGAGGTGGCTTCCCATAATCTATATCAGCTACCACTCACCTCCTAAATTACTGCATGGTTGCTGTGCAAATGCAATTTCAAGACAATTCCCTTCTCCTTTTCTAACTAGGGTCCCTCTTGTATAGAATGATCTGCTCCGAGTCTTAAGTTTCTTGGTCTATAATGTAGAGATAATGACTTGTTCTTCAAGAATAATAAAAGAAATGATAAAAGATTATGTTTATCTGTGGAATTAATTCTAAACCATTTAAGCCTATTTATTTAGTTTTTTTCAATTTTACAATTTTAAAGTGGCTTAGAAAATATTTTGGTGTTTTTACAGACTTAAAATATAATCAGTTATTCATTTTCTGTTTGTTTAAATATTGCCTATATTCCCAGTAATGAATGTGCCATGAATTTGATTTTTAAAGCCAGACATATCTCATAGTAAACCAAGAATGAATGTGCTCTTAATTCACATTGATATTACAATGTACAGTTAGGAATATATTGATTTATTTTAGGTATGGGAATATATCAACATTTTTCTGAGGTGCCAGTGCCAATCTTAATCTTAGTTATTTATTTTATAAATTCCACAATTACACGTAGCTAATATTTCTCACTATTTCAAAAGGCAAATTTGCTGAGTATTTTCAAAGTGTGGGAGTTTTGTCAAAAGTTTCAGCAAGTAATTTTAATCTGTTCTGGAATGATTTCAAGCAATCTTTAGGGGAACTGGCTTCTATCCAGCCTGAGTAATGAAATTGGACTTAACGTCAGTTACTCTCTTGAGCTCCCATTTGGTTCTTCTGACTGATTTGGTTGAGTGTCCTAACTGCATGCTAGGAGTCTAAAAGAACGATTCAATCAAGAGAATATAAGTAACGGCCGCATCCTGACAGACCCTTCAAATGGACTACTAAATTTTTAAACAGAGAAAGCATCTTTTGTAAGATACGAAATAGGAGACATTTAAAAATAGTAATAGACTTCTACTAAAGAGAGCAGTGCTATCTCACATTCATAACTTTTATCATTCACAATTTCATGCTTTTGTTATTCAAAATGCTATTTTAGATTTTAAGTAACTACTAAATAACAACGTAGTGTGAAAGCCATGTGATAACTAAATCAACAAATGAAGTCTTTCCTATGTGTGTGTTCATATGCATGTTCAGTGTCACTGCCATAAGAGCAAAGGACTGGGTATCAGAATAAACTCAGTCTTACTTAGATAATATGGTAAGAGTAGAGCTAGTAACATGCATATGTGCCTATTTTGTGTTTCCTTATTTGTCTTTCAGAAACAAGTGATTAATTCTTTACCTAATTCAGATTTGAATAGAGGTTCTAAGTGGGAAAGTTTTCTTTTCCCACTCTTTCAGAGGGTGGTGATGTTACCTATTCCATAGCTCAAAGGGAATAATTGTACAGAGTGTTGCTTTGAATAATTTATAACTCTTACCAATGATTAATAAAAGAATTTATGTTGCCATTTTAGCTTTCAACTGACAAAACTGTGAAAGTCCTAAATATTTTGGAAAAGAATATTCAGGATGGGTCAAAACTTTCCACTTTGTTAAATCATGTAAGTTTAAGATCCATATTGTTAATTTTATCCTTAATATTGTTAAGTTGTACAGTAGTCCTCCTTTATCCCAGGTTTCATTTTCCATGGTTTCAGTTACCTGAAGTCAACCACAATCCAAAAATACGTAAGTACAGTACAGTAAGATATTTTGAGAGAGAGAGAGAGAGAGAGAGAGAGAGAGGGAGGGAGGGAGAGAGAGACACCACATTCACGTAACGTTTATTACAGTTTTGTTTATTTATTTATTTATTTTTTTGAGACAAAGTCTCTCTCTGTTGCCCAGGCTAGAGTGGGTGCCATGGCATAAGCCTAGCTCACAGCAACCTCAAACTCTTGGGCTCAAGTGATCCTCCTACTTCAGCCTCCCAAGTAGCTGGGGCTACAGGTGCTCGCCACTACACCCAACTAATTTTTTTTTTGTTTCTATTTTTAGTTGTCTGGCTAATTTTCTCTATTTTTAGTAGAGACAGGGTCTTGCTCTTGCTCAGGCTGGTCTCGAACTCCTGACCTCAAGCCATCCTCCCTCCTCAGCTTCCCATTACAGTATATTGTTATAATTGTTCTATTTTATTATTAGTTGTTAATCTCTTCCTGTGCCTAATTAATACATTAAACTTTATCTTAGGGGTATGTATAAGAGAAAATATAGTACATATAGGATTCAGTACTATCCAGGGTTTTGAGCACCCACTGGGAATCTTGGAATGTATCCCCTATGGATAAGTGGGGACTACTGTGAATTTTTTCACAAGCAATTTTGATTTATGGGGAAAATTTTACATTTCATTAATTTGAACTTGTTACTGCAATTTGCTAATTACATTCATTAGCATTGCCAGTAGAATTTCACTTTTAGTAATTCAAAATTAATGTTATGCATTGTCAATCCGTAGATTTGATATAAAGTAAGAATAATAAAGATAAATGTAAATTTATTTAGTTTAAAGGAGTGTTTTTTAATCTTAGTGTATGCTCTTCCTTGTGCAAGTGTATGTTTACAAATTTTTTTCATTTATGATATGATAGTAAGTAATAAGTCTTTCTGTTGACATTCCTGGAGAAATAGTTAGAAACCTTATTATGAATTCGTAATGTATACTAATCCTTGATTAGTGTACATTAATCCTTATATACCATTTTTATACCTACCTCAAAGGGTTGTTGAAACAATTAAGTGGGTATCTGGCACATTGTAACTTCTCAATAAGTGTCAACTGCAACTGTTACTATATTTTAGTATGTTTATATCAAAGTCAGTAACAACATGGTTGTAATGGTTTATGAATTGACTAAAGTAAATTTCCTGGGATCTGCCTTTCTAGCATTGTAGCTGACTTTATAAATTACACATGCATTCAAATTGATCTTGATATCTCTAACATTAATGAATGCAAACATTAATGCTTATACCCATTTAATATGAGATCAGAATTTGGAAAAGTTTTAAATTAATGAATTTTCTTTATTTTAAAAGCCTGATTATAAAAGTAGTATATTTATTATAGAAAATTTGCAAAACACAAATCCATATTCTCATACAGCAATAACCACTTTTAGTACTTTTGATAATATACTTCCATTCCTGTATATACATGCATACTACATATATTTAACATGTACACTGGATTTTATTTTATCTCACAAGGGATGCATTCTTGGTGTTTGCAAAAGCCACAGGATTACTAAGTGAGCTCATGGAATAAAATATGTAGAAAAATAATCTCAGATGGTAGTTATCTGGATTATTAAATATATCTATTTATTTAATGCCCTTGTTTTTAACTACTTGTTGAGTAACAGAAACAAAGAGCTTAGAGAAACCTAAAATATCAGTCTACTCCATCGTTAGTCTACAAGTTACTTAAATGCTTTGCCAAGAAATTGTGGTACACATCATCAAAAATTTGGAGTTCTACGGAGCTGGAGTTCTTGGTGAAATTATTTTTATTCCTAAAAACCTCAGCAATAAAATCTTAGATTTGGCTAAAGTACACAAAAGGTAAAGGAACTGTAAGTTTGTTAGTAGAGTCATCTAGTGGTGAAGTGAGGAGATAGCATATATCATGGTTGTAGACATGGTGAAACAAAAATCTTGCTTAAAGTAGTATCTTTATTTCTGCTTCATTCTGGATATTCTTTAAAGAATGTACATACGTAAAAACACTCTTTTCTGCCAGTAAAAACCAAATATATCATAATTTTTATTCATAATTTAAACCTATAAATGAGTTCATTTCCATGTCATTAACAATATGCTGTTTTATAGAATAACGACACTGAAGAAGAAGAAAGGTTATGGAGAGACCTTATTATGGAGAGAGTTACCAAATCAGCAGATGCCTGTCTTACAACCATCAACATTATGACATCCCCTAACATGCCAAAAGCTGTATACATTGAGGATGTAATTGAAAGAGTTATACAGTACACTAAATTTCATTTGCAGAATACACTTTATCCTCAGTATGATCCTGTTTATAGATTAGATCCTCATGGAGGTTAGTTTGCCCTTTTATTTATGTTTATAGTTTGTTAGTACAGTATAAAATCATCTATTGTAAATTTTTTTCTGTTAGATGAGTCAGAATACAGTGACTTTAAAATGGCACCAAATTTTTTAATCATATAAATTGTAATAAACATTGATTTTGATTGTGGGTTTGACTAGAATGTAGAGCTCTTAGATAATACAGTACTTGTTCAATTATTATTTCTTTAGCAACTATTAATGTATAATAGAAGTTATTTTTACTGGTCAGGGAAAATCCCAGATAATATTAGCTTCTGGTTCCATTTATCACTTCCCCCTAATTTTAACATAATAGTTATCTGCAAAATGGATTAATTAAAGAATATTCTTTCTCTTATTCATAACCTTTGTAAGTGAGCAATGAAATAGTTAACATATACACATTTGAAGAGAGGAAAGCCAAACTTAGGTTAATGGATTATTTATACTCAGTTACCTATTGTATAATAATTGCAAGTTAATTTAAAGGAAAATATAACCTTACTATCCTGGTCCAATGGAAAAAAATAGAAATCAAGATAAAGTAATATTTTAGATAAAAGAATTTAATAGCTGCTGAAATGTACCACAGATTATCTATTCTAATAGAATATCCCTAGAGAATAATTTTCTCTTAATATATAACAAGCTTTATCTGCCAGCTTGTATTTTTATGTAGCCAAAAAAAGAATTGTCTTCTCTTAATTCAGAAAACAGTTTTAGTACTATTTATTGAAAATTAGTAAAAGTTGTTATTTTCCTTGTCTTGAATTTGTTTCATTTTAGGGGGCTTGTTAAGTTCAAAGGCAAAACGGGCTAAATGTTCTACCCATAAGCAGAGAGTAATAGTAATGCTTTATAACAAAGTTTGTGACATCGTTAGTAGTTTATCAGAATTGCTAGAGATACAACTTCTTACAGACACAACAATTCTTCAGGTAAGTTTCATGTAAGCATTTTATGTATTTCTAGACCAAATGATTTAAGAATAGTTTGATCGAGTCCAGTATAACCTTGCTCACTCAGTAATAATACCAGCACCATGTTAATTTTTCCTATTCAGAGTATGTTACATCTAAATTTAAGAAATAAAAGTTCCGGGAATTTCAAAAGACATTTTGGGCAGAGGACAGATGAATGTTGTGTAAATTTCAAACCTTGAATTTTTTACAAGTTATCATTTCCTTTGTATCGTGAATACAAAATATTGAATTTATAGAGTATTTTCATCCAGGATAACAAAATGCTTTTTGTTTCTTTATATTCCTGTGACATTTATAAATTCAAATGGCAGAGCTTAGAGAAATGGCAATTATGAAGCAAGGTAGCTGATATATGTGCTAATATGCTTCAAGATGAAGGGGTACAGAGATAGGAATAGATGCTGATTAGGCGGGGGAAAGGAAATTGCCCTCTTAATGTTTTCCAGTAAGTTTATGAGTGTATTGGAATTTAGTAATATAAAATGTTACTGAACTCAACTAAAGATATGTACCAATTACTTTTTTTTGGTTTTTTATAGGTTTCATCAATGGGAATAACACCATTTTTTGTGGAAAATGTCAGTGAACTGCAGTTGTGTGCCATTAAGTTAGTCACTGCAGTAAGTATAATCAATTTATATTTTTAATTGCCTCAAAATAATATTAATGGGGCCGGAAGCGGTGGCTCATGCCTGTAATCCTAGCTCTCTGGGAGGCCAAGGCAGGCGGATTGTTTGAGCTCAGGAGTTCGAAACCAGCCTGAGCAAGAGCGAGACCCTGTCTCTACTAAATATAGAAAGAAATTAATCGGACAACTAAAAATATATAGAAAAAATTAGCCGGGCATGGTGGCGCATACCTGTAGTCCCAGCTACTTAGGAGGCTGAGGCAGAAGGATTGCTTGAGCCCAGGAGTTGGAGGTTGCTGTGAGCTAGGATGATGCCACGGGCGCTCTAGCCCAGGCAACACAGTGAGACTCTGTCTCAAAAAAAAAAAAATAATAATAATATTAATGTCATTTAATCTAAACTCTTAAAAATTAATGCAGATTCCTAGTTTCTAGTACATTCATTTTTTCATTATAAAGACTATTTTAGTGTGTCTTATTAGATTTTATAAACTGAATTTATTTTTCTGTTCTGTGAATTTTTTAGGTTATTCTGTTTTTGTCAAATTTAAAAATCCTGTAAATACTTGCAAATGTTGCAGATAATAATTCCTTAATATTTATAATAAAATTAAAATGATTTAAAATCATTTAAATCTTGTCTTGCTTTCCATGACCAATATATCGTTCACCTCTCAATGAAACTAGTATACTTTTTAACTTCTGTAAGAATGTTATAATTAATGATAGAAAAATTGAACAAATTATCTTAAGTCATTACCACTGAAGATGTTGAAAACATTTTCATTCTAAGTGACAAGTAATATTTTTTATTACATAGTATCATATTACTTTTGTTTTCTATTATTAATTTAATTTGGAATCTTTTAATTACTAAACAGGTATTCTCAAGATATGAAAAACATAGGCAGTTAATTTTAGAAGAAATTTTTACTTCACTTGCAAGATTACCAACCAGCAAGAGGAGTTTAAGGAACTTCAGGTAACTAATTATGGCAAAGGTCAAGTATAATGAAGAACTCCATTATATTGAACTATCATGTATTTATTCTTCATCATTTCTGATACATATTTAATGATTAAATAAAGGGCAATTCAGTCAGAACAGCATGAAGAATAGCTTAGATGTGCGAAATAACGTGGCATATTTGGGGGACTTAAAGAAGTCTAGTGATCTTCAAGTATAAAGACCCATAGGAGAGTCTTTCAGTCTTGGCATGATTAACATTTCGGGCCAGATGATACTTTGTTGTACATAGCTGTCTTGTGCAATATAGGATGTTTAGCAGCATTCCTGATCTCTTCCCACCAGATGCCAGTAGAAATCCTCCCATTCCGGTTGTGAGAACCAAAATTATTTCCAGGCACTGAAGGGCAAAATCATCCCTCTCACTGGTCAATGAAAAGAGCAATAAGAAATATGACTCCAAAGAGTCAGGGCAGTTCCAAGAGGATTTTATAAGCCATACTAAGGACTTAATCCTTTAGACAGTGATAAACCATTAAATAATATTTTAAAAAGAGAGCTGTAAGATTACTCTAACAGCAGTATAGAAAATAAACACGGGGATTAAATACTCTTTAAGCACACTACAACTAAAGAATGCTATCCACTACTATGGTCAGCATTATCATTTTTGCCATCAAAGGTAATCATTGTTATCATGATGATTATATTAATGTTTCTGAGTGATTAAATGTGTTGACCTGGCATGTAGGGGTATTTTTAGATTGTTTTGAGGGCTTTCTTCTCTAAGATAATTATTTTATCTTAATTATTTGTGAACATTTATGTATTGATAAACATCTATTGTCTATTAAATCTGAAGAGAAACTATCAACATGTAAAAGAATTCTTACACTTCTACATTATCTATAGAACAAAAGACTTGGAAATTGATTTTTCATACTTTATGCCACTAACTCTGTACTCTAACACAGATGGTCAAGAGTTGTGTAGCAAATTTTAATACCAAATTAATATGAGATTCAACAGATAAATACCAGAATTTATGGGCATTTAAAAACCTTGAAGATTTTTACCATTTTAAAAATCATATTGAGAAGTATTTAGTAATTCTTCATATAAATTTTTATCTACAGTACATATATAAGTAGAGAAATTTGTATTAAATACTGTATTTTTCCTTTGAGTATTTTAATTATCTGAGCATGCATAGGCATTTACTTGATATTTTTTTCTAATTTATTAAAAGTAATTACACATAAGCACACTATGATAAACATTAAAATAATGCCTAGAAATATTGGTAAAGAAAGCATCTTGAAACTTTCAAGATGTGAAATGAGATTATTTTCATATTCCACGTATTTTGTTTTTTAAAGGTTGAACAGTAGTGATATGGATGGAGAACCTATGTATATTCAGATGGTTACAGCACTGGTTTTACAGCTTATTCAGTGTGTGGTGCACTTACCGTCATCTGAGAAGGACTCTAATTCAGAAGAGGACTCAAATAAAAAAGTAAGGAATCTTTTAAAGGTTTTGTAACTTCATGCTTTCATGGAAGAAAACCCTATATTCTTTGTCATTCTTACAAAACAAGTTCTTGATTAGGGGTTCATGGCTAGGCTTTAAGGTCCTTGCAGAGCACTAGACATGATTTTGGAGATTTGAGTTCTGGTTCTGACTCTTATATCTACCTGTCATGAAACATGCAAATCATTTTAATCTTTCTGAGTTTGTTTCTTCAGCTGTAAAATAGGGATAATACTTATCAAGACTACCATACCAGCTTTGTAGGGGTAAGTGAGATAGTGAATATAAAAGTGAATATTATAATATGTAATATACATACATGTTGAATATTCTTAATTCGAAAATCTGAAATCCAAAATGCTCCAACATCTGAAATTTTTTGAGTGCCATTGGAGCATTTTGGATTTTGGATTTTCAGATTAGGGATACACAACCTACATATAAATGCATAACATACAATTATAATTAACATAGAGTTTACGTGGAAAGTGAGTTTATGCCCTCCCTGATAGATGACACATAGCTAAAATTTGCTTTTGGTTTTATAGCTTTTATAGACATTTTTCCAAGTTCTTTAGTTTTACTTCAACAAAAGTTCAAGAGAAACAGAAATAATTTTATTTATTTATCTATTCTGTTATAGCCAAATGTAAATAAACATAAGCATATGTGTGTTTTGTTGTAATAATAAATATATAATAGTTCACTAATAAAGTAAACAAATTATCCAAAAAGTTGAGGTCCTCTTTCTCTCCCTTGCCAACCCCCCATCCCAGTTCCATTATTCTGTCTCCAATCTTCCCTTCCTTATTATTGGTGACCTGTATCATGAGTATGTTTATCTCCTTTCATTTATTTATTTATCTGCATAAATGTGATTATTTTCTTTGCATTTATATAAATGATAGTGACATGTTTACAGCTAATTTTTTCACTGTGTTATTTTTAATACATATAACTCATACCAGATTCTTTTTGACTTGAGTTTAAAACATTGTAGGATAGTATCACAACTTAAAGCAAAAGTTTCTCTCAATATACTTAAAAGTAGAGTTAAGATAGTGTACATGCATTAACTTTACTGGAAGTTGTCAGTTTGCTTATCAAAGTGGTGTTTCAGTTTACATTCCAATGTTTTGATTTTACCCCATTCTGCTCATGGTGAAATGGTATTAATATCATGTTTTATTTTGCATTTTCCTGGTTATTAGTGAGCTTGAGCCCCTTTTCCTCTATTTATTCAGCTTTTTGGGGGGGGTCATACAACTGTGAATTGACTACTTATTTCCTAATCTTTAAATATCTAATGACTGCGTCAAATTTTCTTTTGGCTTATGTTCCAGTGTTTCTTAAACTTTGAGGTTAGAATATTGTTTTTAAAATTCTTATTGTATTTTCAATCCATTTCCTTTTGTTATGACCAGGATGTTGATAAGCAACTATCGATATTGTGTTTATCAACCACATTTGTCACCCTTACCTATTTTAATAATATCCTACCTATATTTTCATTTGATTTTATAAAGTGTAGAAATATGTTTAGTATGCTAATTGTGGCTTCTCTATGTATAAAAGGATATTGTAAGCAATTTAATATTTATATGTGTTACCCCTATTCAGTAATAACATGGCAATAGCAACTGAGCTAATTTGTTTGTTGATTTTTTTTTCTAATATCTTTATAAATTTATTTTTTTCACTCTAGGTTGACCAGGATGTTGTTATTACCAACTCATATGAAACAGCTATGCGAACAGCCCAAAACTTCCTCTCCATCTTCCTTAAAAAGTGAGCAAAATAAACATATCTGATTTTTATTTGCCACAATATAGAGAATAGTTCATTTCGAAAAAAAGATTAATCAATTTACTGCCATAATCTGAACCTTAAATACATCTCCCTGGCCCTTGGTTTCCTGATCTTTAAAATGAGTTCATTAAAGTATTAAAAATCTAAAATTCTATGAACTTTTTTATATGTTAGACCCAAAATTAAAGTACTAGATTGAAATTCTCAATTTTTCTTCAGCAAATTTTGGACAATTTTGCTATTTTAATAGAACAGGGAAGTCTGCGGAGAGAGGTTACTTAGCTAGCCTCCATAAGAATTTGTAGTGATCTTGTAGAAAGCAAAAACAGTGATCACTTTTTAAAATGTTTTATGCATGCCAGAAAGTAATGTTAATAAATGAATTCCCCATTATTGAGGGGAAAATGGAGTTTGAGAAATGGATTCATTTTAAACCATATTTTGTTTTGTTTTGTTTTCGAGATGAGATTTCGCTTTGTTGCCCAGGCTGGTCTTGAACTCCTGGACTCAAGCAGTTCTCTCACCTCAACCTCCTGAGTAGGTGGGATTACAGGTGCACGCCACCACACCCAGCCTTTAAGCCATATTTTATTTAATGTACTCTCATATACCTTGTTTCTAGAAATAGAGAAAAGAAAACTTAGTTAGCAAAATTTCAGTCATGTTGGTAGACACATCACCTAAATTGACATCCTTTTCTTTATTTATCTTTGAACAGATGTGGTAGTAAGCAAGGTGAAGAAGATTATAGACCACTGTTTGAAAATTTTGTTCAAGACCTTCTTTCAACAGTCAATAAACCTGAATGGCCAGCTGCTGAACTACTCCTTAGTTTATTAGGGAGACTGTTGGTAAGAGTATAGCATTTAAAGATTATTAGATTACTAGAAGACAACATAATGAGGATGTACTCTGATTCACAGATGATGAATTCTTTAAAAATGTGTAAGGAACTATGAACATTGCATCTCTGTTTTTGCATGTGTATGACTGTACACAATGTTGTCAGTGCATTGTAGAAACCTTCAACTATTGTGAATTTTGGTGCTTTCATTTCATTACATTAAATAAAATAATGCTTTAAAAAATTGGGGGGTTTAGAAGTATTGTTAGTTAAACACATCTCAACACTGAGTCATAAGTTACTCATTTCAAAGCATGAAATTGATTCTTGTGAACTTGTAATCTTTAAGAGTTTTTCTGAAAACATACAGCACTTTTTAGTCCTCATTTAATATAGTATAGAAATTCAAAGAAATATTACTGTGATTTCTCTTTTTATTTTTAAACTACATTTGGACTTGTGCAATATAAATTGTTAAAAAGCTTTTGGGACCTTTTTGTGAACTGGAAAATTTGTTAATACTATTCTGAAACTATGATAATGTTTTAGAGGCATCAGAATTCCACCCGAAGA